CTCTGCCACTGATGGCCATACTGCTGCTTGCTACACAAACCTATGCTGGCTACCTGGAAAAGCTCAGCTGGGCAGGGCTGTACTCCGTTGCAGTGCCAGCAGCACTGATGAGCCTCCAGGAGACCAAAAGTGACTGAAAAAGATCACACAGGTGAAGGTCTCGATTGAAAAAGTTCAATACAAAAAAGAGGGGGAAAAAAGAGCCAGCTTTCATAGAAAGTGACGTGTGAGCTCCGTGTCTTCAGTTGTGCCCCACTTACTCAGTTCACCATCTCTTCAAAGCACTTCTCACACAGAGGGTATTTTTAACGACACTGAAAAGAACCCACCAGAAGTAGAAGCTCAAGCTCCTTTACCCTGAATAAATGGGATACAAATATCACATAAGAGGTTAAATTACACTGGGAGGATTTTTCTCCCCTTTTTAAACCACATGTGGCAAAATTTGGAAGTGATCTTTCTAACTGTAGAATCTTATTGAACTGAACAATTTAGCAAAAAATATCAAGGTTATCCATCTACCAGAATACAACGCATAAGCAGAGCCTCCTTGACCGAAGGAGTTAAGCTTTTCTGCAATAATGCAACAAATCACTCCCTGCAACAAACAGAAGACACATTCTAAGGCAGTTTTCCCACAAACTTCAATCTATGGGAAAAAAATCCTGATTTATTATATAGCATTTGGACAGTTGTGAATGAAAATTTGCCAAAGATCAGAATAATCGAGTCTTTCAGCCAAGCAGTTCTTAATGAAAGAAAAAAAGCACAGAATGGGTCTGAGCAAAATAAATTAAAAATCCACACTTTTAACCAACAGAACCTTTTGCATCATTCAGAAATATTCACAGATATCCAGAATCTTTTATCATCAAAAGGACACTCTGGCCTTTAAAATTACAACTTCCTGATTTTTGTTTACTGATGGCCTTTAAACCAGGGGGTATCACTAACATGTGGCATCTGGTCATGCCATGTTTTCAAATGAAAGAATTTTTAAGGCTGCAATTTGATAGTTTTTCCTTTCCTTCAAAATGTCTCTTTTGCAAAACTATCATCTGTGAATTTTAAGGGTAGCAGCAAACCATTTACTAACAGTATCCATTGATACTGATACCAGTGCGAACACTGATTCATTGCCATCAACATCTGAAAGACAGGATCACAGAATGGCAGGGCTTGGAAGGGATCTGCAGAGATCAGCGAGTCCAACCCCCTGCTAAGCAGCTCCCTACAAGGTCACACAGGTATACGTGCAGATGGGTCTTGAATATCTCCGGAGAAGGAAAGTCCACAACCTCTCTGGGCAGCTGTTCCAGTGCTCTGCTACCCTTACCATAAAGAAGTTCTCCTGCATGTTTGCTTGGAACTTCCTATGTTGAAGTTTTAGACTCCGGTTCCTTCTCCTATCACTGTGCAACACCAATAAGAGCCTGGACTCATCCATTTGCCTCCCACCTCTCTTCAGACATTTATTAACATTAATCAGATCCTCCCACGGTCTTCTCCTCAGGCTGGACAGATCCCGGTCATCCAGCCTTTCCTCACACCTCCAGGCCCTTTATTGTCTTTGCGGCCCTCTGCTGGATTCCTTCTAGGAGATCCCTGTCTTTTTTGAATGAGGGAGCAGAGAACTGGACACAGTAGTGTAAATGTGGCCTCACCAGAGCAGAATAGAATGGGAGAATCACCTCCCTTGACCTGCTGGCCACTCTCATTTTAAAGCACCCCAGGATACCATTGGCCTTCTTGGCCACAAGGGCACACTGCTGGCTGATGGGCAAAGTGTGTCCACCAGAACATCTGGGTCTTTCTTTGCAAAGCTCCTCTCCAGCAGGTTATCCCCTAACCTGTACCGAGTTTTCATTGATTGAAAGGACTACTAACACCAAAGTTATCCTGGAAAAGGTTACCTGTTTTTATGCAGTTTGCCTTTGGAGCAGGGAGGGGGGCTGCAAGCAGTTTCATAGCATATTCACAGCAAATAGCTGAGCCTCTCTCAGAGGCCAGGCACAGCATTCATGTGGCATCCCTCTGGAGGCTTGCCCTGCTGTGCCCCTTGCCCATTAATTAGCACACAATGGAGGCCACAGAATTTCCCTGCAGAAGGTTGTGAGCTTTGGACACGAAAGAAAGTAGAAAAGATCCTCGGCTTTACGGCATTTTCAGTAAAGATGTTTCCAGTGTTTGTTTATTTATCAAAAGTCACTGTTACTCTTGGTTGTTTTGATTTTTGTTTCTGCGCACAAGAGGGGAAAAAAAGGTTTTACTAAGCGAGCCTTTCAGTAAGACACCAGATGATGGATAGTCAAACACAGCGTCTCCTGTAAACACAGAGGGAACCAAAAGGTATGAACTGACTCATAATTGTGTCAACACAGGTCGCAGACCCTTGGTTTATTCCAGCCTTCCTGTTTTTCACAGATTTCTTTTCACACCACACTATTTTTTTTAGGACACAGGCTCTTTTCAGAACATGGGGTGCAAAAGCATGTATGTCTTTACACCAGACTACGGGCATTTACACACACACGTTGGCTCTATTCCACAATTACAACAGCAGTGTTTTCCACCCACGGCTCATGTCTGCATTCAATGAAGCAGAGCCTTTCTGCATAGCAGTTAGTTCTAGCTCTAATCAAAAAGGAGGAAAGGTCCAGGCCATCTCGTTCCCACTCCGAGCTTCCCATGGAGGCTTTTGGGAAGTATCCAGAACAAAGCCTCAGCACGCGAATCCTCTGGTTCATGTGATGTACTTCTTTCTTTTTAACATGTGGCAAAGTGGCAAGACTGTCTGACCAGCAGTGCTGTGAGGCTGACACACAGCAAAGAGTTCTATGGTGAGCAGAACCTACCAGTATTTATCTTGATCCCTAAGAACACTGAATTGAGGTTGTGTCCTTTCCCTTGCATAAAATCATTCTTCTCTGTTGGTTGCCAATTTTCTTAAGAGATTGGCAAAACAAGTCTCTCTGTGGTCTCTATTTCATCATCAAATTAGGCTGGCACTGACCAGCAGACCCAGAAGTTGTCAGGGAAGGAATTGACGGCAGACACACCATGCAGCTGGATCCACTGCAGGTCGTCGAGCAGTTCAGCTAGCAGGTGACTCAAGGATGGCTCAACACATTCCCTCATAGTGTCACCTGTGAAGATATCCTGTCACCTGAATTCCTGATTTCCTGCTAAAGGGCTTGCAGAAAATAGCACACAAAGGTGTGTGAAGGCCAAGAGAGTTGCTGTGCAAGATAATCTTCCCCCACACATCACCCTGAGTGTCTCAGATCAGCCACACACACGTAAATGACTCAGTGCTGTAGACCCAGAGGATCTGGCTCACCTGAGGTGAGTCAGGCTACTGTATGAACAAGGGGAAGTTTATAAACAGTATCTGTTGGTCTGAGATGCTTCGACCTTGGCCACATTGCTGACAAGAGGTAGCACCAGCAAGGATGGATAACCTGATCCAGGCTGAGCAGTGCTCACTTCTGTGTAATCTCATACAGTTCCCTGGGAAAGCTGCTCAAGTAAGCCAGAGTCACAGAACGAGGATTGTGACCTGCTGTGTAAAAATCAGTTGCTGCAATTCCCAGTCAACAGGTAATCACTGCAGTGAAGCCAAATCCACCAAGAGCATCTCACAGCTCTTGATCCGCTACTTCTTCAATTCATTCATTCCTTCACTCATTCATAAATAAATAAAGACAAAACAAAATACATTTAGGAAAAAGCTGCCACCAAAAATCTCAGAAGCAGCATTTCAGAAACAAAAATAATTTGCAGACTTTTTTAAAACTACTAATTTTGAAATACTGAATGTCTTTGCAAAAATTAAGACTCTTATATAGTGCAGATTTCCCTTGTAGAAATTCAGGTTAATGGGACAATGGAGAGAATTCCCCATGCAAATTCCAATAGATCAAGTTAAATTTGCTCCTTTACATTTAGGAATAATTCCAGTTTCCATAGGTCTGCAGAGAGGCTAAATGGCCACAAACTGGAAAAACCTACTCTCTTCTTGTGCTTTACTGCTTTTTCTACATCTCTTTTTAGCTCTACTGCAAAAGATGAGGGAAGTGAAATTTACTGAAAGAGACCATGAAAAGAGTTTCAAAACATTATACATATTTTCTCTCCATAAATATGCCGTGAAATTTGAACGTATACAGTGCCAGGGCACTGCCAGTCAGAACCCAGGAATTCACCCAAGTAAGACAAATTATGATGCTCACTATCTCAGCTTCTTGCCTTTCATTCATACATTGCCAGTGTCTGGATTTTATGTCAAAGTGGAGGAAAAAAGGGAATCTCAGATTGCAGTGAAATCAGTAAAAGTGAGCTTTCCACTGACACTTCACAAGGAGATACCCGCTATCTTTGTTTGGCAAGGCAGCAGTCAAATGCTGAATGTTGAAATTTGTCAGGTATGAGCAGCAGAGATGGTATGCTGTGGAAATGGCCACTACAATCTCTCTTTCCAAATATGCAGTGTTTGGTCATCACAATAAACATCAATAAAATAATTTAAAAAAAACAACAATGTTTTATATGTCCTATCAAGAAACTGCATAAAGACAGTATTGTGACATCAATGCAGGGTAGTACTGTTGAGCAAACCTGTCTGGCACGAGGACAGTGGTTGCTACTTCAAACATCATACCCAATATATAATTAATATTAACCCTCAACTATATCAGCAATCTCATTGCTTTCATAAATTCTCACTTCCTTTCCAATAAAGAGCTACTTATTACAAGGTAATGCAGGATGTAATGCAGGGCTTCATTTCTGCCTCTGGAAGGTACCAAGTCAAAGCACATGTTCTATATGCCAGAAAATGTTGAGTTTGCATGGCAGCATCACAGAAGCTATATGCACTGTGTGATCATCTCTAAAGTGATTCTATTTAATGAGTAACTTTAATGCAGTTCTGCTGAACCAGTTTTGACAGCACATTTTATGTATGCAACAACTTCAAGGAAAAAGGGATAGGCTCTTACCTATTGTTTTTCGGAGATCTTCACACTGGCTAATGTGAGGGAATTTCAAGATTTCCTTCCACTTTTTGCTTTTGCCTTTGCGTTTCCCTCCACCCCCTGCAAAGAAAGAAAGATTGGGATTAGATTGCTTTGGGTGCTACTCCCAGTCCAGAATTCACCAGCCCAATCATAGCTCTTATGGATATCTTTAATAACAGAAGCTGAGACATTGTGGGTAGACGGGCAGATCAAGTTGGCTTGTCTGGATGTCCCAAGCAAATGGCACCTGTGAGAAGGCTGGATTGGTAAAGGCCAGGAGTTTGTGGCTCAGCAGATCCAGTTCAGATGGTAGTGTCTGAGCTTAGCATCTCCAGCATAGTCTCTGCTTCAACTTACAACCATTTCTTTTGAGTCAAATAGCCCTGTATTTGTAAGCATATAATTATGATTCACATCTTTTCAATCTCTTTCTGGTTTCAGGATGAACCCTGACTTCACTCCAAAAGAAGGACTGAAAACTGAAGACCAACATTCAGTACTTGCGCTCATCCTTCATATTGCATATTCAGCTGATGGTACACACAGAGGTCACTGCTACGTAAGCATTTTCCTCAGAGGGAGGACAACAGTGGGAGAAAATCAATAAAATATCCTCCATGATAATGAATCATAGAACCAGAGAATCAGTCATTTGAGTTGGAAGAGGCTGTTAGTCCAAGTCCTCCGCAGTGAACAGGGACATCTACAGCTAGAATCTCCCTCATAAATGTTCCTTCATAAATACCCTACTGCAGGCACCGCCAGCAGCAAAGCGGCACGTCCCAATTTATCTGCCAAGTTATCTGCACTTGGTGCTGATCCCACATGCTGCTCACATGCATCTCATTCCCCCTTCTTGCCACTCTACCTCTTTCTCCCTTTCCTTTCCCATTGCTTTCTCTTCCTCCACATACACCTAGGTGCCCCTCTTCTGGTCTTGTGTCAATAAGGCAGCAAAGACAAATGAGATTCGTCCACATGTATTTATAAAAAAAACCCTTTGAAATCTACTCTTTTGGCTTGGACCTATTTATTGCTCTTCTCAAATCGGAGTACCAGACCCTCACATTCACCTTTTCTTGAGCACATCTACCCCATTCTTTTAAAACTTATACCATTTTCTTTCTTGTTTGAACAGTTCAGAGCCGCACACAGAACCTCACTGACATGGTGTCCCAAAGGCAGTGCTGCTCTGAGGGCCTGCAAGGAGAATGTGTCCAAACTAGGTCCCAACCAGTAAAGGCCACATTCCCAGCCTGTGTCACATCGACCCTTGCTGGGACTACTGGAGAATGCACTGCTGGCAGGGCCAGGCTCCTTTGGCCCTATGAGGCCTAATGGAAACCAGAATGCTGTGTGTGCTGTCCACCACCAACTTTGGGTGGACACACAGCTATAAAGCAGCTCAGTCTAAGAGAGCATTTCTAAATTATTCTTTCTTTTCTTTTCTTTTTTTTTTTTTTTGCACTTTGACTGGGTGTTTTATTCCAGCCTTGGCTTCTCTTTCAGGCCTGCCCTTCTTGTCCCCTGCTCACAGCCCAGGAAGGGGCAGCCACCATGTCAGCAGTGCTACACTGAGCACAGGGTACAGGCTGGACCTGAGGTTTCCTTCCTGGCTCTTCGGTGTGTCTGTCCTGCTCATAGCAAGTTTCCCTCTGAGCCTGAATGTCCAGACGCAGTCTGTGATTCTCCAAGTCAGTGTATCTACTGCAATTTAGCCCCTGCTCACAAAATTTGATTCACTGGAGTCTATTTTACATGCGTGGCACATTGAATGACTAATTCAGAGCTGAGTTAATTCTGTACAGAGGTTGGTAGAGTCACAATTGCAGACTGAGAGCGTGTTGGGTACTACATGATATTGCAGGCTAAATTAGGTGTGTTGACTCAAAAGGTAACAGATCATTACAAAGAAAACATGAGCCCTGGAAACAATTGCTCTCTGTGGGGCATTTCTGATCCTGCAGTGTAACCTCTGGCACTGGAGTGCTCTCTCTGTACCTCACATTTTATTCCTTCATTTTCAGTGACCAATGGCTTTGTCATCAAAGAGCTTGCCTCAAATTATTTTAAAACCTATTATTGACAGGAATTTATGGCGTATCTACATCGTGCAATGTAACACAGAGCTATCTGCACTAACAGCAAAGGAATTGGCTTGTTTAGACTGTCGGGAGCACAGCTATGTTGTTGTTTCCAGGAAGTGGCTCCAGTAAAGCGTAGAGGTCTGTGAGTGCCTTCACATCGCACATTATTATGCAACACAGATGCACTCTTTGGGTCCATAGTGAAATCTTCCTTAACCTCCCTTCTTCAGTGCATTCAAAGCACTGCTGCTAAAGTCATTTCCTTTCCCATCCCTCCAGTCAGAGCCCTGGTCCTGCAGCACACATCACTTGGTCTCAGGTACTGAAGGTCCTAGGGATGCTCCAAGGGACCGACCACTTTGTGGGCTGGGGGAACACTGCGATTGTCTGCTCATCAACTCTTCTGGAGTGCCCAATTCTGCTCTGGTCCCCAGCTGCTGCATGGGGGTGATTAAGCATCCCACAGCTTGTTTCCATTGCTTGTTTTCCATGAAAGCTCACAGTCCTGCACAGCTCTTCTGCCAACTCCACTTGCCCTTCTTTCCTTCACTTTCATGGCCCTTGCTGCACCTCCCTTTGTGCCTCTGGTCCCACGCCTCAGCCTCTGCTCTGACATGCTCTGCCCCCTCCCTTCTCACACTCTTCTGGGGAATGACCCTTTCTCTGGGAATTCCTGCCTCCTCCTCTTCTTCAGTCATTCCCTTTGGTTTCATCCTTTTCCCTGAGCTCTTGCTTCACATGCTTCCTCACTCATTTATCTTGTAAATTTTGATTTTTGCTACTTGCTGCCAAATCTCCATGGGAATTAAATGAATGAAACGGATATTTATTAGCACAGGGGGAGAGATGGGAAGAAAGAAGAGGACATGGAGGGAGGGAAATGGCAGGGCTGCTCTCAAAGCAAAGTGATCCTCCTTTGACAGTCGCAGGATTCCAGTTGGGATTTCTGGTTCCATAGGCTGCCAGAGCAGCTCACCCTGCCTCTGCAAACATGTACCCCCCCTGCTGCCTCTTCTGCTGCAGGGGTTCCCACCTCTTGTCAAGTACCAGACACAGAAGAGTGCAATAAGCGTGGGGGCAGGAATTCTCTGCTTAAGATACCAACAAGCATTGGAAGCAGCACAGATGATGTTCAGCTGCTGGGCAGTGGCATCTGCAAGAACAATAGTTCCAAACATTTCTGGACAAAGATGGATGAAAGAATCTGTCATGCTGCATCTGCTCATCACAGGTATTTCTTCACTCACTGAAGTCCTTAACTGTAGGCCAAAGAATGGATGGAGCATGTCTGCTTCTCCAGCCACCTTTACCGAAGTACCCACAAAATGGTTGCATCTACAGCAGCACGGAGCAGTACAGAACACAGCACAGCAGCCTTAGCACTAAATGGCAACTCTGAGACTGGAACAAGGAGAAAATGATCATATCCATCTAAGCCAGAATGTTTTTAAATTCCACACTGTGTAACATATACATTGATATGTTTGTATTGGATGATGCATTTCTGACATAAAATTTTCATCAAAACGGAAGAAGAGCTCAATGGGCTCAAAGGGCTCAACTGTTACAACCATGATCGATGCAGCCAGTGCGTTCTCTTCTCTTTTGTGGCCATCCTCCAAAAACAAGCAGCCTTGCCTGATGAATCATTTGCTCTTAGCTGAGTATGAAGTAGCATTACTATTTTGCCTGTGACATCTTTATGTTAAAGATTCTGATCAACTGCTTTAATCGATCTGACCTTTCTGCTCTCAGCTTTTCTTGTGGAGCCAGCAAACCCTGCTGGCTCCAACTGTTAATTCTAGAGGGTTTGAAGGACATAACACAGTGAGACAGCTGAGATAGGGTAAATTGTCTAGCACAGCTAGAAGTTAAAAGAGGAGGTTTCACTGAATAGGTCAGTAACTGTGCAGGTTGCAAAGGGAAGCTTTCCACACAGTGTCTTGATTGCTGCCTTTGCACTGTCTATTCTGGACAGGAGGATTTGCAATCTTCAAGTCAGCTTCTCAGAGAAAAGCTTGACAGACGTGCCAGGTTTTATATGTGAGTTTCATCACACCAACTTGGAGGGGCTGACTGCTTTAAAATGTTGGCTTGCTGATAATGACAAAAGGTGAGCTCCCAGCAACAGCAGGAAAAAGCGGCTCTACTCCCTTGTGTTCACTTAACAGCCCAGCAATTGCAAACTAGGGATTGAATCTAATTCTCTAACATGTCAACCAGTCCTACAGGAAACAAAAGCATTTACTCTACATTCTCCCTGCTGAAAAATACATGGCATTTTTCATATCATTTTGTAATGTCCAATAGGATTCAGATCTCTTGTGTGTAAGGAGAAAGACATAAGCAAAAGCACAAATGTAAAACATTTGGGAGCAGGAGCTCCCTCTCTCAGCCTAAGGTCCCTACTTTTTTTGCCTCCATTGGTTAGGATATATTTATTCTAATACCCTGAGCTAAAAAAAAAAAGTACTTCCTTATTGTTAAGCTGGAGAGATACTGAGTGTCTTGTCCAAAACACCAGGAGAAATCAGGGATTGAGCTAAGAGCTAAAGCCTCGAGGCTGTCAACCCTGCTAGCTGCACGATCAAGCCAAGCTTCTGCTCAGCTGGCTGAGGATATTTCATGCTATGGAGTTAAATACAAGGATGGGGGATGTCACTCCAGCACCATGGCTGTAACATATTCCCTTCTCACCTCGCTCCACCATACCATGCGGCTTTTAAGCATGGATGAAGTGGCTTCACACTTTTCTTCCATTCCTGTTCAAATTAACAAGCTGCATCACACTCAAGTTCACTGTCTTCACCTGTATTATCTGCAACCTAGTTAACATGCAAGCTAGGTAAAGTATCCACAGATCTACAAGGGAGGACTACAGCTTGTATCTTCCATTCTGCAACAGCAGATAGGCTCTCATCCAAGTCCTTCCCAACAAAGGTGTAGAGCTCTGTATTTTCCAATTGCAAGGCCTTAAATAGACAACACAAG